AGGAGTAATAGAGGACTTTAGAAGAAAATAAGAGAAAAAAATAAAACAAGAAAAAAAAATTTTTTCCTAATTAAAAAAAAATAGTAAAAATATATGAAAATTAAAGTTAAGGAATAATGGAGGAGTAATAGGGAATTTTTAAAGAAAATAAAAAAGAAAAAATAAAAGAAAAAAATTTTTTAATTAAAAAAAAAATGTAATATACCTAGGAATTTCTCTGGAGCTGTTGCGGTCAGTGTGGGTTCGGTTCAGTTTCAGATAGCTCCTCGTTCCAGCTTACACTTCTTGGTATCTATAGGCCCCTTCCGGTGTAGTTGGTGTTACCTACAGGAATTTTAATCTGTTGCACCGGTCAGTTCTGAAGCGGTTCCCTGTGTTTATTTGACTTCTGTTTGCCGTCTCTTCAGTGTCTAATTTCTGCCCTAACACAGGCGGGCAGAGGTGGTCTCTTGTTCAGGTTCGCTGGTTCAGTGGTGCTGCGGGGAGGGAGGATCGCTGCAGGCAGATATCGCTGTGTGTGGGGGGCACTCACAGTGTTCCGGCCACACTGAGTTTGCCCCGCTCAGGGGTGTGTGCTCTCCCCGTGTACACTGCTCAGGCTCCCGGCTGCTCTATATGGAGCGTGCCCTGCGTTGCGTGCGGTTCCAGTTTTCAGGTTTTTCACAAAAGCACAGACTCGGTTGGGCCTGCGTTTTGTGCCTTCCCCGCCCGAGCAGCTCAGGCAGCCAGGAGCTTGACAGGCGCACTCTCCCCTGGTGCAGTGTGCCTTCTCCCCTCCGCGATCCCAGACTCAGTCTATGTGCGCGTGCCAGTCGGGTGCATGCGCCTGTGTCTGTTCTCGGGAGCATGGACTCTAGTCGCGACCCTCCTGGCAGATGTCGACCATCCAGAATCTCAGGATGTCTTTGGTTAGAAACTGGAGGCCTGTTTGCAGTGTGGTAGGGGATGCCGTCTCTGGGGCCGAGTTTGCCCCTTTCCCCTCCCCCCTGCCTCCAGCGGGGGATGGGCCGGTCCACAGCCGGCTAGCTCTTCTCTGGAATTGATCAGTCCCTTTGTTCTGCAAACCACCGGCATTGTATTCGGGCCAGTTAATTTTCTCTTTCTCTCTTGCTATCCCACAGTTTAAGTTGCCATCTCACCTTAGCTCCCTCCGATTGCCCTCAGGGCATTCGGGCCTGGTCCTTACGCTATGCAATCCCGCCTGCTCCTCTCCGTTTCGCCCCCACTTGCTGGTGGTGGATGCGGGCGTCTGGGGTACTTTTTTGCTCAGAGTTGCTTTTAGGCATGTAATCTGTGAGTTTTATTTATTTTTCCTCCCAGTTAGGTTGCCCTCCGAGATTCGAAAACTTCCCCCAGACCCACCAGTGTGAGGGTTTCCTGGTGTTTGGAAACTTCCTCTATTAAGACTCCCTTCCCAGGACGGGTCTCTGTCCCTGGCTCTTTTGTCTCTCTTTTTATCTTTTTTATTTTGTCCTTCCTCCTTTCGAAGATGATGGGCTGCTTTTCTGGGTGCCTGATGTCTTCTGATAGTGGTCAGAAGTTGTTTTGTGAAGTTTGCTCAGCGTTCAAATGTTCTTTCCATGAATTGTAGGGGAGAAAGTGGTCTCCCCGTCCTATTCCTCCGCCATCTTAGCTCCTCCCCCAGGGTCTTTTCAAAGACCCTGTCAGTTCTTCAAATCAGGTGGCCAAAGTATTGGAGTTTCAGCTTCAACATCAGTCCTTCCAGTGAATATTCAGGACTGATTTCCTTTAGGAAGGACTGGTTGCATCTCCTTGCAGCCCAGGGGGCTCTCAAGAGTCTTTTCCAACACCACAGTTCAAAAGCACTAATTCTTTGGTGCTCAACTTTCTTTATAGTCCAACTCTTAACATCCATACATGACTACTGGAAAAATCATAGCTTTGACTAGACAGACCTTTTTTGGCAAAGTGATGTCTCTACTTTTTAATAAGCTGTCTGAGTTGGTCATAACTTTCCTTCCAAAGAGTAAGCGTCTTTTAATTTCATGACTGCAGTCACCATCTGCAGTGATTTTGAAGCCCCCCCCGAAAAAAAGTCTGTCACTGTTTCCATTGTTTCCCCATCTATTTGCCATGAAGTGATGGGACCAGATATCCATGATCTTAGTTTTCTGAATGTTGAGTTTTAAGCCGACTTTTTCACTCTCCTCTTTCACTTTCATCAAGAGGCTCTTTAGTTCTTTTTCACTTTCTGTCATAAGGGTGGTGTCATTTGCATATCTGAGGTTGTTGATATTTCTCCGGGCAGTCTTGATTCCAGCTTTTGCTTCTTCCAGCCCAGCGTTTCTCATAATGTACTCTGCATGTAAGTTAAATAAGCAGGGTGACAATACACAGCCTTGACGTACTCCTTTCCCTATTTGGAACCAGTCTGTTGTTCCGTGTCTAGTTCTAACTGTTGCTTCTTGACCTGCATACAGATTTCTCAAGAAGCACGTCAGGTGGTCTGGTATTCCCATCTCTTGAAGAATTTTTCACAGTTTATTGTGATCCACACAGTCAAGGGGTTTTGTCATGGTCAATAAAACAGAAGTAGATGTTTTTCTGGAACTCTCTTGCTTTTTCGATGATCCAACAGATGTTGGCAATTTAATCTCTGGTTCCTCTGACTTTTCTAAATCCAGCTTGAACATCTGGAAGTTCACACTTCACGTACTTTTGAAGCCTGGCTTGGAGAATTTTGAGCATTACTTTGCTAGTGTGTGAGATGAGTGCAATTGTGAGGTAGTTTGAGCATTCTTTGGCATTGCCTTTCTTTGGGATTGGAATGAAAACTGACCTTTTCTGTGGCCACTGCTGAGTTTTCCAAATTTGCTGGCATATTGAGTGCAGCACTTAAAAGGTTTAATGTCGTCTAAAGTGGTGGCTCAGACAATAAAGCATCTGCTTACAGTGCAGGAGACCCAGGTTCAATCCTTGGGTCAGGAAGATCCTCTGGAGAAAGAAATGGCAACCCACTCCAGTACTGTTTCCTGGAAAATCTCATGGATGGAGGAGCACAGTAGTCTACAGTCCATGGGGTCCCAAAGAGTCAGACACGATTGAGGGACTTCACTTCAAAGTTTTCTTAACTAAAATAGTGTAATACCTTCTCATAGGCTCTTGTGTATGCATTTTTATACAAATTTTACATCTGATTTGAAGCCTCTTGTTGTTGTTCTCTGATCTGACCAGAACTACAGATTTAGCTCAGGTTCCAGATCTTCTGGCTCTGTGAGTGATACATTAATTTCCTGTTCCTACTATAACACATGCCACAAATGTGGTAGCTTAAAATAACAGATTTATTACTTTACAGTTCTGGAAGTCAGATCCTCAACAGAGCTGTAGTCCTTTGAGGAACTCTGATGAATACTGTGTTTCTTTGCCTGTCCTAGCTTCTGCTGTGCTGCTTGTGGCCCCCAGCTAACCATCATATCACTCTGACCTCTGCTTTTTTTTTTGACTCTCCTGTGTCCCTCATTCACTTGTGACTTTTCTTTTCATTGAATTGGCCCACCTAGATGGTCCAGGATAATTTCCTCATCTCAAAATCCTAAATTTAGTCCCACCTGTGAAGTCTCTTTTGCTATGTAAGGTAACATATTCACAGGTTAAGATGATTTACATATTTGGGGAGGACCTTATTCTTCGCTCCACAAGTGATAAACTAAAGCTATGCTAATGACACTACTCAAGCTAGAAAAGTAATTCATCAGCTCACTTTCTTACTGTGCCTTCCATCCTTATTTTTATAATAGGGTTGTTTCTTCAGTAATCTCCAGTTCATATAGTTCTTTCTACTCTATAAACATTCTCTCACTGGATTCTTTTTAAAGCAGTGACTTAAATTATGCATTGTCATATATGAATGAAGGCCAGTCTGTAGATTAAAGGTTTTTGTTACATTGGAAAAAAGGAAAACCATAGTTTATATCTGGATCATAAACTGCTTCTATACCCCAGGGGCCAAGCAGATAACATAAATCCATCGAATAACTCAACCTCAGTGAAAGATAATGGAACTGTAGTTAAACTGGCTAGTATACAGTGAGCTTAAAGGCATTCAAGACAGATATTTTAAAAAGACTTGATCAATATGAGCAAGGCTTCAGGCTACAAGTTTGGACTCTTGATTTAAGTAATAGTTGATCTTTAGATTCATAAGGTATTAAAACTTGAGATTTATCTACATTTTAGAAAACCCATGATCAGTGTCTTTTAAAGTATGCATTTTTTTTCCCACAAGGATTCATTTAGATCCTGCTGGGACATATCTTACCAGATTTTCTTTAGTTATCTTTGTTTCCCAAGTAACCTGACCTGTGACAGCTGAAGAAGTTAGCTATCTAGTTAGCTAAAGAGATAGGCTTAAAGATTGATTGATGTGATAAACAACTGTAGTAGAGTTATGAAAACACACATGAAAGAGAGTGAGTGAGTGAGTGAAGTTGCTCAGTCCTCTCCGACTCTTTGCAGCTCCATGGACCGTAGCCTACCAGGCTCCTCCATCCATGAAATTTTCCAGGCAAGAGTACTGGAGTGGGTTGCCATTGCCTTCTACCTTAGGAATATGGAGAGGTGGTCTACTAATGCTTCTTAGGTGGATGGCTTTTGAACTACGTTTTAAAGAACTAATTCTCTGTGAGAATTCACATTTTGTCTTTATTTTACTTATTATCCTTCTATTAAAACTGTACTTATTTTTTTTTTTAAATGTTGTTTATTTCATTTTGGGCTTCCCGCGTGCCTCAGAGGGTAAAGCATCTGCCTGCAATGCAGGAGACCTGGGTTTGATCCCTAGGTTAGGAAGATCTCCTGGAGAAGAAAATGGCAACCCACTCCAGTACTCTTGCCTGGGAAATTCCATGAATGGAGGAGCCTGATGGGCTACAGTCCATCAGATCACAAAGAGTCGCGCACGACTGAGCAACTTCACTATTTCATTGTATCTTCATGTTCTTTTCCCCAGATACTGTCCACGAGTGCTTATGGAAAAAATGGCTGATATTAACCTCAAAGAAGTAACCTTAATAGTTGGTGTGGTTGCTGTTTGCTATTGGAACAGCCTGTTTTGTGGTTTTGTTTTTGACGATGTTTCAGCAATACTGGATAATAAAGACCTGCATCCATCTACACCTTTAAAAACTTTATTTCAGAATGATTTCTGGGGGACCCCTATGTCTGAAGTAAGTATGAATTATATGTATCTCAGATTTTAAAATGTTTTGGTAGTTTAGTTCTTACATTTTGGCTACATTGTCATCATGACAATTATAGAGTTCTTCCTCAGAAATTTTATATAAGACATGAATGTTTGTAATAAATGAGATAGGAAGTGGAAAACATGATTATCATTTTTAAAGTAGTACCTGATACTTTCCTTGATTGTGTACCTTGGCTTAAATGTTTTAAAACTAATGTGTGTGTAAAAACCAAATGTATTAGGAGAACAATAAGGGCAATACATATCTATTTCTTACTAACTGACTTCATTTCTTTTTTCTTTCTTATGAGTCAAGCCAAGGAGATAAGCATTTCTAGTATATTTAACCATTTGAAAGGGCTTCCCTGGTGGCTCAGCTGGTAAAGAATCCACCTGCAATGTGGGAGACCTGGGTTCGATCCCTCAGTTGGGAGGATCCTCTGGAGGAGGGCATGACAACCCACTCCTGTATTCTTGCCTGGAGACTCACCGTGGACAGAGGAGCACAACGGGCTGCAGTCCATAGAGTTGCAAAGAGTCGGACACGACTGAGCAACTAAGCATCAACCATTTAAAAATTATATAGCTTCATTATAGATTGAGTAAAAATGTGAAGTACACATATTAACTATTTTTCTGCAGAAAAAATGATTTATTAAAAATTTTAATTTGTGCCGTATCTCATATCTGATGGTTAGTTTGATTTTCTACTGAGAACCCAAAAGTTTAGGTTGTTTTTATGAAGGTATTTTTCCTTTGCTAGTAACTTTATTTTGAAGGTCAGTGTTAAACTATTAGGGACCAAACAGCTTGGGATCATATAGACTGGATTCTAATCTTAGTTGTCTGATATAAAAGCTGTGTGAAGTAGGTGGGAACACAGCTTTTAGGCGATGAGGTATTTTCCTGAGCTATAAAAGAATAAGGTTCGAGGCTTCATTAGTTAATCTGTCTGTAACAGGTAGCACATGGTTGGTGACACACAGCATGTAACGCTCTTCTTGTCATTTGTCATTCACGGCCCCTTTCCAAATTCTCCACACTTGGAAACTTCTCAAGAGGGGGTATGGAACCTTTCATTCTTTCAGTCACAAACAAGTATTATTTTTTCTTACTAGAGAAGCAGGTTATTTATTTTCCTGCAGCCTTTCTATTCTCACCCAGTTCAAGCCTTTAGAAGAAATGTCTTTTGATACCAAGGGGAAAATATGGTCCTGTCATGATATTATTGTCTTGATAATTACTACATTATTTTCTAGATAATTCATTCCCCTGTACCCATACCCTCTGTCCTCAAATTCTACTAGTATCTACTGTGGTTTTAATCATGACATTATATTTTGACCTTAAAAGGTGCTTTCTGGTATAAGTGATTTCAGTTTAATACATTGCCTTAAAAACAGTCTATATGTTTGAGGTGAAATCTGAAGGATGTACAGCAATTAGGCATAAAAAAGAAAAACATTCAAGGTAGGTAGCTCTCATGTTGTATGTAGTCAGTACAGATGGAGATATTAAAATGCTCTTAGTTTCAAAATGGGTAGTGTTTGGTTCTTGTGCTTCCCCGTGTTCCCTGTTGGGGATGAGCAGGTTTAAGTCTATAGCTATAAAACAGGGTTATAGCGAAATACGGTAGAGGAAGGAGAGCAAGGAATGTGAGTGTGGATGCCTTTGTATAAAATTACAAAAAAATGACTAGGATAATATTTTCTATCTTTTTAACTTGTGTTTTATTCTTAATCTGCTTTGATTTTGTCTTAGAGTAAAAATATTTCTTGTTAAATGTAACTTTTGTTTTATAAAGAAATTCAGTCCCTAACATAAAATTTGATCTACTACAAGTAGAGACTACAATAGCAAAGATGTCTATTCTTTAAGAAAGTTTTTCTCTTATATCACTCCCTGTGTAGTACTTAGGAATTTTTGGTTTAATGTATTCAGGTTTATACATTATGGAGGTATATTTTCATAAGACAACTAGGCAGTACATTTTTGAGTCATTGTTATTTAAATTGCACTGGGTAATCATTCTATTCTTACATTTCCTTTTGAAAATCTAGCCACCAGTTACATGAATGCTTTTTGGTAATAGTTTGGGAAACAGGCTTTGGAGGGAAATCCTGTTCTACAATTTGATTAATGCCACTGTTATCCTGTTTTCTTAATCTGTGTATTGAAGAGGAATTAGTAGTCAAATGTTTTTCTTCTTTTCTTTGATTACTGTATACCAGCGTGTGTGTGTGTGTGTGTGTGTGTGTGTGTGTGTATATATACACACACTGATAGACATATATATATGGCATCACCAACTCAATGGACATGAGTTTGAGCAAGCTCCAGGAGTAAGAGATGGGCAGGGCAGCCTGGCATGCTGCAGGCTATGGAGTTGGAGAATCAGACATGACTCAGCAATTGAACTGAACTCAACTATATATCAAAGAGGAGATCGCCTTGTTTTTGGACAAATAGGAAAACACACACACACACACAAAACACATAAAGCTTTCTTTTATATTTGTGTTATTCTTGAGACATCATTATTTTATTGTTATTTCTCAGCCAAATGTAGATTCTTTAGTAGTAAAAGCAGTGATTAGTTTGTGTGTCCAGGAGAACCAAGATACTTTAATAATCAATGACTTTTTTTTCCTTATAGGAGAGAAGCCACAAGTCTTACCGTCCCTTAACAGTATTGACATTTCGCTTAAATTATCTGTTCAGTGAACTAACACCAATGTCATATCATCTCCTAAATATGATTTTTCATGCTGTGGTTAGTGTGATATTTCTTAAAGTCTGCAGACTTTTTCTGAATAACCAGAGTAGTATGATTGCCTCTTTACTTTTTGCAGTGCACCCAATACACACGGAAGCAGTAAGTAAAATTTATTTTTTGCATTATTCCTACACATGACTATAATGGTATATATTTTTAAGGAAAAAAAACTAACCATGACTTCAAGTATTTAAAGACTCCTTAAGTTGATACAGTGTCTTACCTTCTAGTGCACTGGATATAGCTTTCATATTGTGTAAAATTTTTCAATTTAAAACAATTTTTGAAACATAAACATTTATTCTTGAGTATAGCATGTAATCAGCTTTAGCAATGTAAAATGTAAATCAATACAGTTCTTTTCTTTGCAGATTTTTTTTTTGTGAATGAAGATTTTAAGTATTTGTCAACTTGGCTTTGTTTGTGTTTCAAAGGGCAGAAAATAATAGAAACTTATGTAAGGCATGAAAATGTATCAGAATACATGCAAACATAAGCAGACATCCTAACAAATGATGCTCAGTAATTTCATATTATTTATTACTTTATGTTTAAAAATTGGGCACTGTCTCTATTATTGCCAGTATTACTCATGACCAACACATATTCAAATTATAACCTTACTTAATTTGGTAATCTTGAGACTCCAAAGTTGCCTCTCAGCAGAGCAAGGAGGACTCTATTCAATTGTTTTATTATAAGCTTTTAGTTTGAAACAGTAGTCTGTATGTTTAAACTTGGCAGAGGTGTGTATGTGTGTTGCAGTGTCGTTGTGTGTTTCTCCCAATATCCTGAACCTTTTGGTATTTAACTGAACATTTTTCTATACATCTACAAAAATAATAGATTGTTTTAAGTTTTATAGTGAGTTCAGAATACTTTAGAGATTTTGGGGGAATTTTATATTTAAATTTTTTTAAGTTTAAAAGAATATTTTAAAGTGTATTGTCTTTTTAAACTTTGCAGGTTTTATTTGTGAGATATGATGTATTGAGTTTGTTATATACTTATATTTTAAGAACACTTGTATTTAAAAAAAAAAATTTAGAACTAAGTCTAGATGGTATACTATATATTTGTGTAAGATGTTACTGTTGAAGGAAGCTGGGTAAAGGGTAAACAGGACTTCTCTATACTATTTCTGCAACTTCCTCAGAGTCTATAATTATTGATAGTTAAAATAATAAAAGCTAATAGTTACTGATGAATATATTTTTATGTAAGATACACAAATTCACCACATGAGGGCACTCAAGGTATGCCTAAAAAACAGAAATGTGCACTTGAAAAGTTACAGCAGCTTAATTTCTAATTAAACTGCTGTTGCAATTATATATAGTTAAAATTTCAAAATGCTTTTCATTAATATGGACCCCCCCTGCCTTTCGCTTTCTAGGTAACAGGTGTTGTAGGAAGAGCAGAACTTCTGTCATCTATCTTTTTTCTAGCTGCATTTTTGTCATATACTAAATCTAAAGGACCAGATAATTCCATAGGTAAATGTCTAATATTCAATACTTTTCCTTTAGCTGTAAAACTCAATCAAGTAATTTGTATTTACTTCAAGTGGTTCTTATTATGCCATATTTGGTGTTTATATATCATGTTACTTTAGCATCTATGGACATAAGAAAAGTATGCAATATTGTCAGTATTAAAAATTGAGTGTAGTTTATATTTTATCATGACTAGCAATTTCTAGTTGATCTAATTTTTTAAAATTTCCCTAGAATATAGGAGTTTTAGGGTTATTCTTAGTTCTGTCTGCCATTACCTCCAAATAATTAAAGTAGCAATACTTAGTTGTCTTTCTATAAATAACGCCTGTGAAGGCTATAATGTGTATTGTTTAGGCAAGATTAAAATCCTGTTAGAGTATAACTTTCATTGTATCGATCATAGTTCAGCTTTTCATTGACTCCCCTCTATGTCATCTGCATTGGAAAATGCCTTGTATACATTAGCCCACTGGTCCTAGTGATGCTTGGCATTGTCAGAAAACAAATTCCAGGCAATAAAAATGATTTTTAAAGACTGTGGATACAGTGAACATGAAAGGGACTTCACATAATGGTCTTAATCTGGTTAATCTTAAAATTTATTTCTGAGGTTTTTTTCCTGTGTTCTTGGAGAATGTTCTCACTATAGACCCAAGGCGTTGATGATAAGGAGCCTCATTTTTATATGTATGAAAATGAGGTTTCAAGAAATAAGCAGTTCAGCTAAACAGCTTCTTAGATGTGTCATGTGAGTAGGTTTGCTTTATGCTGCTACGCATAATGCCTTTTTAAAACAATTTGGGTTCAGCGTAGCAAAGTGGTTAAAAGCATGGCCTCTGGAGTCCAGTTTCACGTTTCAGGCCCACCGTTCAGTAGCTTCATTTACTGTGTTGGTCAAATTACATCACCTCTGTGCTTTAGTTTCTTTATAAAATGTAGGTAATAAGAGTCTCTACCTGTTGAGTAGGATTTTGAGTTAAGCATGTTAAGGCATTTTAATCTGTACCTGGCTCATCAGAAGCAGTAACCCTATTTTCCCTGTTGCCTGTCATGCAGTGAGAGGTAGTTCAGTAACTAATACGGAATTGCAAGCCAAGATCATCTTTAAATACCATCCTAAACATGAATGATAAACTTAGAATATATTGTGAACCTCAAGACTGTGATCAGGCCTCTGCCTACTTCCCTAACCGTGTCTCCTACAGTTTTGCCCTAGTCTCTTCACTATAGCCAAGCAAGCTTTGCTGATCTTCAAACAGGTGAAGCACTGGCCTCTGCACTTGCTGTTCCCTTTTGCTTGAATTTTCTTCCATCAGGTCTTCACATAGTTACTTATATTCTTTGCATCATCAGGCCTCAGCTCAGCGGTTTCCCTCTTAGAGAAACTTTCTTCATTCTAGCTTAAGTAGCCTTTCATTTTATTATATTTTTTCATTCTTAGTAATTTTACTTGGTTATTTTTAAAAATTTCTTATTCTTTGTAACTCCAGTTTCTTTATTTCCTTTAGAATCACTTGTTTTAAATTATTTTAACTTCTTAGTTTATCTTTTCAGGTAATTCTTATTTAGTTAATGTATGTTATTGTGTTTGTACTCTCTCTTTTTTAACTGTAGTACCCTTCAGATATCTACTTATCATATTTTAAAAGGCTTTTGATCTCAGGCCACATGTTCTCTGAAAGTTATTGACCACTGTCTAATAATGAAAAAGACCAGGGCCACTGTGTCCATCCAGTGACTTAATTAAACCCAGGATGGAAATTTCCAGGCTTCCCAGGGCCGCTTCTGATCACTGTTGTTGCCACCCAGCCATCTCACCCTTTGTTGCCCTCTTCTCCTCCTGCCCTGTCTTCCCCAGCATCAAGGTCTTTTCCAATGAGTCGTCTCTTCACATCAGGTGGCCAAAGTATCAGAGCTTCAGCATCAGTCCTTCCAATGAATATTCAGGGTTGATTTCCTCTAAGATTGACTGATTTGATCCCCTTGCTCTTCAGGGACTCTACAGTCTTCCCCAACACCACAGTTCAAAAGCATCGATTCTTCGCCACTCAGCCTTCTTTATGGTCCTACTCTCATGTCCGTACATGACCCCTGAAAATGTCTAAATACTAAAAATCACTAAAAATAAATACATGATCACCGAAGATATGTGTCTTTACACATGTAAAATCAGCTTGGAAACCTGTGTTTGAAATTGGAATAGATTGTAATTATTGAAATTGATTCTGTACTTAACATATGTATTTTTTTTTAATGTCAATGTATTTAGCAGGAGTACTTACTTGGGACTAAATCACCATAGTGACTTCAGCCACAGAGATCTGATTATAAAAATCAGTGTGTACATTCATAGTCACCAAAGGTTGAAGAACTAAAGTGACTGGTTTTAGCAAAACTTTTGCCTTTATTAGAACTATTAGTTGCTTAAATTAAATCCAGCATCATGGAATGCAGCTGTTTGGTTTCTATTCCTTGGAGTGAAAGTATAATACAAATTAGCAAGTTCTGTATTTAGTTTTGTATTTAATATGATAAGAATCTAGTTAAAGTCATGGTCTGCTTACTGTATGACTCTGGTTAAACCTCCAAAATTCTTTCCTCGTCTTGAATATGATTGCAACTGCCCTCATATCCCATAGAGTGATTGAAATGCAATGAAATACACTAAACTGGTTATCTAAACTGTTTAATATACCTGTTATCAAGGCCATTGTTTCCCGCTTTTTTTATTATACGCCTACCATTTCAGTCATACTATATTCTCTGTATCCTTCACTCGCCAAGCTTATTCCCTTCTCTACTCCTTTATTCATACATACCCCTTTCCCAGTTTTTTCATGTCTCATATGTCCTTCAAGGTCCAGCTTTTGGTTCAATTTGTTTTGTAAATAATCATCTACTAATTTCTTGGCTCTGTGAATTTCTTGTTGACTTTTAGCCAGATAATTCAGCCCTTAATATAATCTGTTACATTAATATTAACGGTTTGGGCCTAACTAGAATATGAGAGACTTTCTGAGGAAGGAATACTCTTATACTCAATACTTCTAATGGTGTTCTAGGTTTGTTTTTTTGTTTTTTTCTTTTTAGGTAATTTTAATCTATAGAGTTCTTCAAAATTGAAAATGATTTTGAAAACATAGTTCTATATTAAACCCAATGACAAAATAAAAATGTAATAGCTTCATGAATTCTGTTATTTATACTTGGATTTAAGTCAGCTATTTGAGTTTTATTTGATTAATGTTCTTATTAAAAACTGAGGTCACACAATCATTCTACCATGTGGAAGAGTTATAAATCATATTTTCCGATAAGAAAGCTGAAGCTCAAAAACGTTGCCTAAAATCCCAAAGCAAATTAATGGTAAATCTAGATTTAGTCTCACAATTCATTATTCTTTAATCAGATTACTACTAAGTAGAAGCACACAGTACAAAAGACATTTGCTCACAATTGATGAATGTAAATTTTCCCCTTAAATAGAACCTGTGAATAGTCTATTACAAATTTTTGTTATAGTATTGATTTAAATGCATATTGTTAACCTGTTTTAGTTTTCCTCATCTTTTTTTTTTCCCAGTAACAATGGTAATGTACTTTGCCCAGTAGTTTTCAGTTTCAAATTTTTAATTACTTACAGATATAATAAAGTATATAGATATCTCTATGATAATTTCAGATATTTATCTTCGTTTCACATGGATAGTTCATTAATCACTGCACTCAACACTAAATTTCTCTTTTCCAAATTGGCCACCCTACCTTTGTTTTTAAATGTTAGCATTTGATTAGGTAATTTTCCTCTTCACAAAAGTTTTTTAGTTTGAATTATATATATTAATATACTGTTTTGAATATATAAAGCAAAAATTGCTTACAACATTTGAAGTTTTTCAGTAATATCTAATTGTTGTCTTTTTATGATATTATAAAATTGTTTTTGTGTGTTTTTGTATTTTTCTGTTCCTGAATTGTAGCGTGGACTCCAATTGCATTGACAGTGTTTTTAGTGGCTGTTGCAACACTGTGTAAAGAACAAGGAATAACAGTTGTGGGAATTTGCTGTGTATATGAAGTATTTATTGCCCAAGGGGTAAGGAGAAATATAAATTTCCTTGTTGCTATCTTTTATATTGTTTGATTCCGATTCTAATGAATTTATTTTCTAAATGTATCATCATATAAATTGCTTTACCAATAATATTTAGCAAAAATTTGCAAGAAACAAGCATGTTTTGCCTTCATACCCACTGAATCTTACTTAACATCTTATATTACACCTTCAGTTTTTTAAGGACAGATTTAAGTTTCAATAAAGGAACTGTTGGGCAGTTTGCAAAAGCACCAATAATACTGTATAGTATAATTCATTATTGGATAAGACTGTTGGGCTCAGTTTTATTCATTATCAGTTCCACCAGTTCCATGTTGATTTTATAATTATAGTCAATTTTTATTTAATCTTGCAATTAGAAAATACAGTTGTTGAAATGTTACAGTAAATTGCTATTTTTTACTTAAATTTTTTTTTTTTTCTTTTTCTAGTATACTTTGCCATTGTTATGTACTACTGCTGGACAGTTTCTTCGTGGAAAGGGTAGTATTCCATTTTCTATGCTGCAGACACTAATAAAACTCATTGTTTTGATGTTCAGTACACTGTTACTTGTTGTGATTAGAGTCCAGGTTATTCAGTCGCAACTTCCAGTGTTCACCAGGTATGAAATTCTGGTTCTTTTTCTTTTTTCCTTTTTTTTTTTTTAAACTTTGAGTTTTAAGTGATTGCAAATGTTTCAGAAAGTCTTTGATTTACATTAAGGTTTTTTAACAGCTTTATTGAGTTATAATTTATACCTTTTAAGAACCCTCATGTATTTAAAATGTTGAGATTAATAGGTTTGATATACGTGTACACTCATGGAAGCATCAGTCAAGATAATGCTCCCCCAGTTGGTTAAGTGATCAGTCTTCCATATCCTTGGTCATTTTTGTCTACTTGTTCTATTAATTATTGAGAAAAGGATGTTGAAATCTCTGACTGTAACTGATCAAAGTTACAGACTGACTGATTTGTCTATTTCTCCTCAGTTCTATCAATTTTTGCTTCCTCTTTTTATTGTAAAACTCTACAATAAAGTATATCAATATTTAGGATTTTGATGTCTTCTTGATGAATTGATCCCTTTATCATTATTAAATAAGCTTTTTTATCCCTAGTAATAGTCTTTACTAAGAAATTCACTTTTCCTTATATTAATATAACTACTCCAGCTGTCTTTTTGTTAGTGATAAATGGTTTATCTTTTTTCATTCTTTTACCTCTTAATTCTATCTATATCTTTAAAGTAGATTTTTTATAGGCTACATATATTTGGGTCTTTTTTGTTTGGTCAGATAATCTGTCTTTTAAATGGTGGCTTCAGCTGTCTGATACAGTTTGTTGTAAATCTACCATCTTGCTAATTGTTTTCTCTTTGTCTCATCTGTTCTTTGTTCCATTTTTTCTCTGTTTTGAATTGAGTATTTTGTATTACTCCATTCTTATCTCCTTGTTGGCTTATTAGCTATAAATTTCTGCTGTGTGTTTTTAGTGATTGCTTTAGGGGTTTTTTTGGTTTACATCATTTATTTATCACAATTTATCTTTAAGGAATATTATAATTGTATGTATGTAAAATTATAAATGTAAATATAGTACTAATACATATATAATAAGTATGTTTTTATACACTTTAAATAATAATGTGCTTTGTGCTATTTTCATATTTTTTATTGAATATACATTATAAATCCCACAATACATTGTTATTTTTTACTGTAAACAGTTATCTTTGAAAGAGATTAAATTTTAAAAAAATTTTGTGTTACCCCGTAGAGGTACCATTTCTAGTGTTCTTCCTTTGTTAGATCAAGATTTTCATCTGATACCATTTTTCCTTGTGACTGAAGGACTTTCTTTGACATTTCTTGACATGTAGGACTGCACTGGTGATGAATTCTTAAAAATACCTTTATTTACCTTTGTTTTTGAAAGATATTTTCCTTGAGTGTAGAATTCTACAATGCTGGTTTTCATTCACTAACCTAAAAATATTACTCTATATTCTATGGCTTGTGTTATGTTAAATGGAAAATCTTTTCATCCTTATCTTTATGTTTCTGCATGTAGTATGTCTTTTTTTTCAATGCTTGCTTTTAATAGTTTCTCTTTATTGTTGTTTGTCTTCTCTGTATTTTTTAATTGAGACATAATCGACATGTAGCATTTTATTAGTGAACAACATAATGAATCTTACACACACACACACACACACATACACACACACACACACAAATGATTACCATAATAAATTTAGTCAACATCCATCACCACACATAATTACCAAAAATTTTTTTTTTCTTTTGATGAGAACTTTTAAGATCTATACTCTTAGCAACTTCCAAATCTATGATACGGTATTATTAGCTACAATTATGATCCTGTACATTACAACTTCAGGACTTATAACAAACTGGGTGAAAATGGCCAAAAGTTGCAAGCTTTCAGTTAATGTTTGTTTTATCTTCATGTTTCTTGTGCTTAGGTTAATTTAGCTTTTTGGAATATGTAGGTCTTATTTCATATACATTTTGGAATTGTTTCAGTTATAAACTTCTTGAAACATTTTTTCTTTGCTCTCCCTTCTTCCTCTGCGGACACCAATTACAGGTACTTTAGGCTTCTTGAAATATTACTGTTACTCTATATTTATTTCTCTTCCCTCCAAAGCTATTTTTCCCATTTTCATCTTGGATAATTTCTTCCATTGTAGCTTCAAGTTTACTAATTTTTTTCTGCATGTCTAATCTGTCCTTAATTTCTTTTATTTTTCATCTCAGACATTTTCATCTCTATTTGAGTTCTGTTTGAGCTGTGTGTGTGTGTGTTTGTGTATGTACTCCATATTTCTAACTGTTTTAGGACTTTAATGTCCTTTTCCACTGATTTTGTCATCTGTGTAATTTCTTGGTCAGTTTAGATTGAATAATTTTTCTCCTCATGGATTATATTTTTCTACCTCTTGACATGCTTGGTAGTTTTTCTAATAGGTACTGTATCTGATTTTACCTAATGTATTCCTATAAATATTGTAGAGCATTGTTCTCAGATGCATGTAAGTTATTTGAAAGATGTTTCATCTTCAGGTGTTGCTTTTAATCTTTGTTTTAGGATACCATAGCAGTGTTTGTTTAATAGCTAAGTCATGTCTGGCTCTTGGCAACCCCATGGACTGTAGCCTGCCAGGCTCCTCTGTCCTTGGGATTTTCAGGCCAGAATCCTGGAGTGAGTTACCACTTCCTTCTCCAGGGGATCTTCCCTACCCAAGGATTGAACCCACTTCTGCATTGCAGGAGCATTTCTTACCACTGAGCCACCTGGGAAGCATAGCAGCATTTAGGATAGGGCTAATTTTGCTCCCTTGGTGACACAAGACCCTTCTGAGCTCTCCTTGATAGACTTCGCGTTATGAGGGATTTCCACTCTGGCTGCTGAAGAACTGTTCCCAGTTGTGAGTTTTTATCTGATCCTCTCAGAAGGTACTTCCAAACTGTATTAGTTTTCCTAGACCTGCTGTAACAATTGACCAGAAACTGAGTGGCTTCAAGAGCAGGAACTTACTGTCTCACGGTGCTGGAGGCCAGAGTCCAAAAATCAAGGTGTCAGGCACAGTGGTTCCTTCGGAAGGCTCTGGGAAAGAATCTGTTCTATGCCTAGCTTCTAGCAGTTGCTGGCAATCTTTGACATTCCTTGGCATGTTGCTGTATCACTGTAATCTGCTCCATCTTTGCCTAGCCTTTTTCCCTGTGTGTTTCTCTGTATTTTCTCTTCTTTGTATAAGAACATCAGTCATTAGACGGTGCTGTGCTGTGCTTAGTTGCGCAGTCATGTCCGACTCTGCGACCCCATGACTGCAGCCTGCCAGGCTCCTCTGTCCATGGGGATTCTTCAGGGAAGAGTACTAGAGTGGATCACCATGCCCTCATTAGATAGTGGGCCCACCCTTAATCCAGTGTGACCTCATCTTAACTCTAACTGCATTGACAAAGACCTTCTTGCTAATAAAGTCACATTCTGGGGTTTTGGGGAGACATAAACTTTGGGGAGACAGAAATCAACCCCCTATACTGTCCTTCGGTATTTCTTTGTGTATATATGCTGATCAGTTCTCAGTACTGAAAACTGGAGAGAGAGCCTTTACAGATATGAGTTATCTTTCTCAACAGTTTTCTTCTTCCTGGTATTCTGCCTGCTAATTCTAACCCCCCTGGACTTCTAGGGCTCCCAGCTCCATCTTCTCAATTTAGGGATACAAATGGTCTCCACTCAGATTCTCTCTTGTTGCTGCACAGACTAAAAATTCTATCCAAGTTCTAAACTCTTTAGATAGGACTCCCCTCATCTGTTTTTTGTTATTTTTCCTATCAAACAAGTGTCATTGTCCTTCTTTGCTTGATGCTTAGAATGTTAAAGGAAAGTTTAATTTTCCTTTTTCTTTTTATTTTGTTTAAGGCTAGAAGCAAAAGTTATATTGAATTTTAACATTCTTCTTATCTTTTTTTTCTTGCTCTCATAGCATTTTTCCACACCTCACTCATCCAAAGTTTAAAAGAAAATTTATAAAGTTGCCTATTCATAGCTTTATTCAAGTGACTGACATTACATGCAAGAACTTTTTTTTAAACAAAAGCCCAATTTTTTTCCATTATAGGTTATTACAAGATACTGAATATAGTTCCCTTTGCTATGCAATAGGACCTTGTTTATCTCTTTTATATATAGTAAGGTATATCTGTTAAATCCAAGCTCCTAATTTATCCCTCCCTTACCTTTTCCCCTTTGGTAGTCATATATTTATTTTCTATATCTGAGTCTCTTTCCGTTTAGTAAATAAGTTCATTTGTATCTTCTTTTAGATTCCACATATAAGTGATGTGATATATGATATTTGGTTTTCTTTACCTAATTTACTTCACCAAGTATGATAATCTCTGGGTCTATCCATGTTGGTGTAAATGGTATTATTTCATTGTTCTTTTATGTCTGAGTAATATTCCATTGTATAATAACTATCCTTAATAGCATTTTTTTCTGTAAAGAATATTTACTTTTTACTACCAGAATTTTTACTTCTGAGTCTAGCCATGCTAAACTAAAAGCTCATTTAAGCATGATAGTGTGGAAAGTAGATTGAATTGTAGATAGATATTTTGTATTTCCTTCTTCACTCCTTAGTCTTAATCTTTCCTGTTTATCATTTGTTTTAGGGAATTTGAATCAACTCTTTTGCATCTCTGGTTCTATAATATGAAAATGTGCCTTATAGGTGTGAATGTATTTATTTTTTGTATATATATGTAGATGGGTATATGGAGTATGTTATGTTTAACACTGTATTTTCCAAATATAAGCATTTTAAAATGTGTGTATATGTACATGTGTTATATAAATTTTATTCTGTTATCCTTTGCAGTTGATTGTAATATTAGACTTGCTTTGACATGTATTCTTTGACTGAAGTTCAATTAATTATCAAATAATTTATCCTAAATAGTTAATTTTTCTAAATGAACTCTGAAAAGTGGATGACAGGACAAGGTTTTGTGTTCAGTTTTGTTGGTCATGTTGAGAATTCAAATCCTGACTTTCAAGCTTTAGTTTTTTCATACGTGTATATATTGAAGTATGAAAGTTTTGGAGAAGGGATTGGCTGTCCACTCCAGTACTCTTGCCTGGAAAACCCCAAGGAGGGAAGAGCCTGGAGGGCTACGGTACATAGGCTTGCAAAGAGGCGGACACGCCTGAAGCGACTTAGCATAGCATGAAAGTTTAGAAAATATTACTTGTTCAAATAATAATTCATTTTTCTCAACCAGTTGATATTTTTAAGAAGACCAAGTCAAATAAGTGCTAGAGGTTGATTTTTCTTTGACTTACTCATTTTAAAATGAGAGTTGGGTTTTTACGCAACTATAGTAGAGGAAGGAAACACTCACACAGTCATGTCCAGCTCTTGGTGACCCCGTGGGCTGTAGCTTGCAGGGTCCTTCTGTCCATGGAATTCAGGCAAGAGCTCGTAAATGCGTGCCCATTCCCTGTTCCAGCGGACCTTCCTGAGCCAGTGACTCCACCTACCTTGCAGGCGGATTCTTTACCATCTGAGTCACCAGGGAAGATTTAAACAACTACATGTTAACACAATTTAGATGTGTTAATACAATTTAGAACACACTGTAAGGAATTAAAAATCTGAAATGATTAATTTAAATGCACTTTAAAAAAATGATTTGACTTGATTTGCAGTAAACAGACTGATAATATATCATGGCCTATATAAACTAGGATATAAGTTGTATTAAGTAGAGCACAAATAAAATAAAATGTGCCATATGGCTGTGCAGTCACTACTCTGTACTAGAATTTGCTTTTTAGCTTTGTAGAAGTCAAAACAAAAAGAAAAAGCTCATAGATGATTTAGTTGTCTCTGACAAAAGAAAACATAGTAATTCTTTCTAGAAAACATAATTTTCATTAACATTTGGTGATGAAAGAAACATCTCTTAAAGGAAAACATTAATTAGTGTTCTCAGAAGCATTCATACAACACAAACAACAATGAATCGTACAAAACTTTTCTTATGATGTTGAAGCAGAAAGCCATAATTTAATAAAAGCATTTCTGCAGAATGTCATAATATAGAATACCTGTCTGAATCATTCTCATAATAAACTAGAAATAGGTAACCTGCTTGCCTCTCAAACAGTTCTTCATAAATATCATACCTCTCAATTAGACATTTCAGAAAGAAATTTGAACTCAGGCAAGAATCTAAGGTATCCATAAAAAGTTTATGTCTTTAACAAGATTACATGTAAAATACTGTTTTTATTATTGTTGTTCAGTATTTGTATCTTTTATATATTAACTTTGTGTTTAAAGTGTTTTAATTTCAGTAACTTTTTTTCATCTTTACACAGGTTTGATAACCCAGCTGCTGTAAGCCCAACTCCTACCAGGCAGCTGACTTTTAACTACCTGCTTCCTGTGAATGCTTGGCTTCTCTTAAATCCTTCAGAGCTCTGCTGTGATTGGACCATGGGAACAATACCACTGATAGAGTCATTTCTAGATGTTCGAAATCTTGCCACATTTATTTTTTTTTGCTTTTTGGGAGCTTTGGGAGTATTTAGTCTCAGATATCCTAGTAATTCCTCCAAAACTGTTTTAATGGTAAGAAAGTTGGGTAAATTTTCAGATGATACTATATTAGGTTTATTAATTGAGTGCCTTTAGATTTTCAAAAGCATCTTTGAAAAATTGCTGTCTGTCTTTGTTCGTGTCATCCTAATTTATGAACTTATTTTAGGCTATACTATAATTATATGTCAGAGTTTGATTAATGCTGCACATTCAGCATGTGACACAAAGAGTGATTATGAATTTCCCTAATTTGGTGGGAACTCTGAAATCATGGAGCATCCTTTTTAGCATTTTATTTTTTTTTAATTTCTTACCTTTACCCCACTAGATTATACACCCTTTTAAAGAAATGAATTATTCAGTATACTGTATACTTCTTTGTTTTCTTGGCACAGAGAAGAGGATCATGTAAGATAAGCCCCTAGAAATGCATAGCTCTATATTTTTCATTAGCAAAACTTTCATTACTCCCTGAGGTATTTCTTACTATTTGTTCAGAGAGTTCTGATTATTTGAAAGTCTTTTTTTGTTTTAATGAGATCTGTTTCTTTGCAGTTTTCTTAGCTCTGCCCTCACTTCTTACTCATAATAATTGTGTTGCTTCTTACTTTAAATTATGAAAGAAAATAATCATCTTCAACATTTTCTTAAGAATTTACTGTTTGCCAGAAAGTGTTTTAATACTTTGCAAGTATATTCTGGCTGCAGCCACTAGATTCATTTATTCATTCATAAAAATTTTGATTTGTAGCCTGTGTATCAGGTAGCATTTTAGGCACTGAGTATATGATAGTAAAAAGAAATACAGGGCCCCCATTGCCAGAGAACTCACATTCTAGAGAAATTTGAAAGACTATAGGGATTGAAGTGAAGTGAAGTCACTCAGTCGTGTCTGACTCTTTGCGACCCCGTGGACTGCAGCCCCCCAGGCTTCTCCATCCATGGGATTCTCCAGGCAAGAATACTGGAGTGGATTGCCATTTCCTTCTCCAGTAGGGATTTAAGAAAGATATATTTACTAGTGTCTGGACCTGATGAGTTTGAGGTATCTTTGAAATTTTCTAACGGAGATTTTGAATAGCGCTTTGTGCCTGGAGTTCTGTGGCAAAGACAGATACGCATTAAAAAAATTGATAAATTGCCACAGAGAAATTTGACAGTTGCCATAGAGATAATAATTGAAAGCAAGATGTAAAGAAGAAGACCTTTGGAAGGGTTATAGAGCAGCCTTTCTCAACTGAGATTTTGTCACATCTCTTGGAGGTGGTAACTAGCTATCACCATTCTAGGTGCATAGAAGTTAATTCATACACATAATGCATGCCTTACACTATTTGTTCTTAATTTTCCCTCAATAAATAGTTGAAGGGGCTGAATAGAATGATAGAGAAGAAGGCTGTATCTCAGTCAGTCTTGAAAAGCTTCCATATTTAGGTGTCGTGTAAAGGAAAATAAACCAAATAGCTGCTGCTGCTGCTAAGTCCTGTCCGACTCTGTGCGAACCCATAGACGGCAGAACACCAGGCTCCCCTGTCCCTGGGATTCTCCAGGCAAGAGCACTGGAGTGTGTTGCCATTTCCTACTCCAGTGCGTGAAAGTGAAGTCGCTCAGTCATGTCCGACTCTTGGCGACTCCATGGACTGCAACCAACCAGGCTCCTCCATCCATGGGATTTTTCAGGCAAGAGTACCAAATAGGAAATAGACCAAATGGACAGAAAGGTAGGAAAACGTTTCTGGAAAAATGGTTAACACCAACAGTTGCTGTCAAATAGTGAATGAGATCAGTTGGATTTGACTTCTTTTATGTAGTTACTTGGCTTCTCTGGTGGCTCAGACTGTAAAGCATCTGCCTGCAATGCTTTAGACCTGAGTTTGATCCCTGGGTTGGAAAGGTCCCCTGGAGAAGGAAATGGCAACCCACTCCAGTATTCTTGCTTGGAAAACCCCGTGGACGGAGAAACTTGGTAGGCTACAGTCCATGGGGTTGCAGAGTCGGACACAACTGAGCGCCTTCATTTTTCATTCATGTGATTACTTAAATGAAATCTGTATCTGTGGAGTGATTTGATTAGGAGATGAGGAAGGGAAGATTGCTAGTGTAGGTAACCTTTAGGAATGATGTAACTGAATATTTCAAAGAAGGAGACAAGGTCTAATTTAGAGAAGATAGCCAGTCAGGCAGTGGCTTCAAGTATAACAAAGCAACTATCTTTTGTTGGGGGATCAGGGCTTGGGGGAAGCATAGAGACCTGGAATTGATGGACCTTCTGAGGCTGAAGTGGGTTGATATTGGGGGGAAGACTTGCTTGGTTGGCATTTAGAATCACTTTCATTGGAGTACTCAGTTGGCTGACCTTTATACACAGAGATATCACTAATGGGTTTGCTTACCAAAAGGTACTCTGAGTTGAAACATTAAGTGAGGTTACAACCAACTGCTTGTTAACCAGGTCCACAAAAAACTTTCCCTAAGAGTGTGGGAACTTGTTTTTACCTAAGGGTCATAATGAATGGTTAAGATATCTTAATATTGTCAAAGGAGAAGATTTTTAAGGTTGGAAAGGCAAGAGCATTTTTAGCATAGAAAGTTGACATAAGAAAGTGATTAGGTAAATGAAAGGCTGATTGATTGTAAGATTAGAGGTGTAGAGCTCAGGTTTGGCCTCAGATAGATGGAGACACTGCTTATGTTATAAGAAGGATGGAAATGGTCGTGAATGGAGATGTTAATAGATTTAGTAGCAGAGAATTAAAGAAATTCTTGTTTTATCGCTTTTGTTTTTTCTGAAAGTTTGGTAGTATAGTCACCTCCTAAAAGTGATGTGGGCCAGAAATTTGAGAAAAATAGTCAAGATTGAAAATAGTGAAAGAGAGTGAGAGTGAGCCTACCAAAGAAACCTAGAATCTTGAGCAGTCTTAAGGATTTAATTTGAAGTTGATTATGAATTTATGATGATAAAGATTTATTTTTGCTTTGGGACTTTGTCTAATAATGCTTTGCAGCTCACATAAATAAAAACGAAGCAGATACATGGTAGAATACATCCAAAACTGAGTTTCTACTAAAAAGCGAAATAAAGAGTAGTTAAATATGAAGTTTTGGCAAGTAAAATAATGATTTGTATAGTGCAAACGATAAAAAATAGGATATTGCCAATGAAATTAACATAGATTTACATTAATTACGTTATATTTTGCATGTATAAAAAAGGAACCCTTGTGACTTTAGGTATAACTGCTTTAAATATAGTCCTAAACATACTCTTAAATTTTTTGAAATTGAAATAGAGTCAGTCTATGATACTGTGTTAGTTTTGTAGAAAACAAAGTTAGCTACCAAAGGAGAAGTGTCTTGCCTGGTGTCTCAGTGGTAAAGAATCTGTCTGCCAATGCAAGACCCAGGAGACGCAGGTCTGATCCCTGGGCCAGGAAGATCCCCTGGAGTAGGAAATGGCAACCCACTCCGGTGTTCTTGCCTGGGAAATCCCGTGGACAGAGCCTGGCGGGCTACAGTCCATGGGGTCGCGAGAGAGTTGGACAGGACTCTTAGCAAGTTAGCAATGTAGAAAAGGGAAAGGGGAGGAAGAAGTGGGATAAATTAGGAATATAGGGTTAACAGATACAACCTATTGATACTATACATAAAATAAAAAATAGAAAACTATATTCAGTAGCTAGTAATAATCTATTATAGAAAATAGTCTGAAAATAAATTAATGTATGTATAAAACTAAACATACTGTTTTTAATGGTAATATTATTTTAAGATATCTGAAAGAGGTAAGTAAACCAAAGGAGTATCTACCAAGCACCAGGTATATTAAGCACTTAATAAATAAGATGTCATGTGTATCTCAATAGTTTAAGTAGTTAATCCATTTATTTATTTTAAAAAAATGGAGTCACAAGGTGATTGGAGTAGTTTACTCCAGATTTGCCTCCAGGTTTGCCTCCAGAACTCTTCGCTCTTTCCACTCTCTGAGAAGATATTGCATTATAGTTAACTTGGTTGGCATACATTAACAGCGTATTAGAACATCTGAGTAAGTCAATCATTGAGACATTTCTTATTGAAGAATCAGTAGTTTTTTTTTTGATAGATGGCTTTTCTTTTTTTGTGTAGCTTATTCATCAATCCATGATGCCTCTTTGGATGAATTTAACACTTTATTCTTTCAAATGAAATTGCCTTAGGGCATCCATGAATTAACAGGGAATTTTTTTTTAAAGGATCATGTATTTAGGAACAAATACCTCTGTTTCGCAGCTACCTGGTTGTTTTTGTCAAACATTTCTGGAAAGTGGAAAGTGAATTATGCACTCTTAATGTTTCACCTTTTTGAATAAAAAGAAAACACTAAAATTTCAGACTTACAAATTGATAATAAATGAGCAGTTTGATGGTAGTGCTTTTCTTCAGATTCAGTGTTGGATCATTACAAATTACTAATTTGTGATTCATGGAGAAAGTATTCTTTTCACTATTTACATTTCTACATTGATTTTCAGTAGTAAAGTATAATAAGAAGCATTGGTTTCTCTCAAACTGTTAGAAGACTCTCAGACTTCTGAAATTGAAAAAACAACATATTTATTCCACAAGGTACTATAAAACAAATCAGAGTAAGAGAATATGGAAGCAGATGTCCATAGAAACAGATATCCTACTGACAACCAGCTTATTTCTTTCCATAAGTTATTTGTGTGCTAGTTATTTTCTCTTATATTTTGTAATGACTGTAATCTGGAAACCATATGCCATCCCATTTTCAAAATGGCAAATACATGTAAGCATTTTGTGATGTTTATTTCTAACACAGTGCACAGTGTTGGAAATTTAGAAATTCTTATGGAATAAGTGACTGTTGATTTAAAGGGGCCAGTTTTATTTTTATTCATATACTAAGTCTGTTAAATGTATGTGACCTATCAGAATACTATGCAGAGCAGCGCTGAAGTAACGTATAGAAGTAGTCTCCTGTCTTGTTGAAACATAGCTGATCAATCTCCAGTATTCATTACACATAGTAGTAATACTAATATCTTTTCCTGTCAGCTTATTTTTACCACGTGCACATGTGATGTAAAATGTTAATCACTCAGTCGTGTCTGACTCTTTGCGCACATTAGTTAGACATATAAAAATTACTGATTTTTTTTTAGATATATTTTCAAACATTTTTTATTTGATGAGGCTGAGGTGTAAGCTCTAGTGTTTAGGAAGACGTCATCTCACCTTGCTGACATACATCCTCATGTTTATTGTTACCATCCTTAAGTTTCCTTCTCTATGTTTAAATCACTATTCTTTATAGTGTTATTAAAATTGATCCACCAGTACATTATCCAAATTAAATGATAAAATATTTGGATTTGACTGTTGATTTGTGTATATTTTTTAATTTAATAAATTATCTTTTTTCTCTTTGTAGGCGCTTTGTTTAATGGCATTACCATTTATTCCTGCATCAAATCTTTTTTTCCCAGTTGGATTTGTTGTTGCTGAGCGAGTATTATATGTTCCTAGCATGGGGTTCTGTATTTTGGTAGCCCATGGATGGCAGAAAATATCAAACAAAAGGTGAATTAAAATGTTAGTGCATTTAATGCTTACTAACTGTAGAATTTAGTATGATGCATTTAAGTGTTTAAAATGTTTGTTCTATTTTTATGTCATCTTTTTATACCTTTTTGTTTTTCACATTGATAGTCTCCTTAGCTCCTTAACTCCTACCTTATCTGTGTTTTTCCTCATATTTATATAATTTTATCTTACAGTCTAGCACATAAGAGACTTTAATTCAGATGCAGATGCTACAAAGAACATTATTGAGACTAAAGTTTCAAATGATCATTGCTGCTTTCATATGTAATGAGTTAAGATACAGTCATCTTAAATGAGTCATATTGGATTAATACATGTAAAATGCATATAGAAAGCAAAAGTAATTTCTTGCTTCATAGAAACCACCATGTTCTAGTTGCCTTAAATTCACTGTTAAGGAACAGAATAATCACTGATTGTGTATGCAAAAAATAGTCACTGTTTCTTTTTTCTTACTTTCCCATCCCCTTTCAACCCACAGAATTGACTTCTGTCTTCATCACTTGACTGTCTTGTAACACTTTGAGTCTTGTGGCTAAATCCGGTCCCTGCTTGGTTTAAAGTATATCTCCCTGGCAGTTGTAAAAGTCTCTGTCCTGACTCTCTGCCACCTGTGTTCATTTCTGCTCAACCTCTTTTCAGCTTCTTCCTGTTGTACCAGCTCTTCAAATGTTTTTTATTTCTCAGAGTTTTACAAATAGCTGTTTTTCTCACATTGCATGTTCTCCCTGACAGTCTCATCCATGACCACAATTTTCACTCTAATCTAAACTTTCTCATAGCTTCTACCCAAGTATCCAGTTATAATCACTACCAATCTTGTAGTGCCTCCCATGTGCCAGCTCTGTAATACATTTATGTAGATTTGTTTTCTCCATTAATCTAGACATCTGTTAACTTCATTTTGCACATTTGAAAATTGAAGCTCATATAAGTTACCTGAATTACAAAAGACCACACAGCTAGTAAACAGCAGTCTTGATTTAAATTTATATCTGACTGTCTCTCATGTCCATGGTCCTTCTGATCCATGTACTTTTATCCTGGTTAAATGGATCTATCAAAGTGAAAGAAACAGAACTTTGTAACTGAGGCAAAAAGCAAAAGCTCAAAGAACATTAATCCTACTAATACCAAATGAGATCATAGTGATTATTGAAGTATAACAATCATTGTGTAAGTGACAAATTGTGTCCCAAGTGATTAACCTAAAGCTATGGAAGTAATTTGCATCTATTTTATAAAGGGTTAATTTTACTATGACTTTTAATGAATAATTCTAGCTTTTTAAAATGTAAAATTCTGGGACTTCCCTGGTGGTCTACTTGTTAAGAATCCCTCAGCAAATGCAGGGGAGACATCCAGTCCCTGGTTCAGGAACTAAGACCCCACGTGCATAGGGCAGCTAGGCCTGTGCACCGCAGCTTTTGAGCCCACGTGCCCTAGAGTCCGTGCTCTGCGCAAGAATAGCCACCACATTGAGAAGCCTGCACACCACAACTAAAGAAAGCTGCATGCAGCAGCGAAGACCCAGCACAGCCACACACACACGCACAGATTCTTTGAAGAATACCATGATAACCTGTGGTGTATATTGTAAGCGGTAATGTTTTTAAATATAGCCAGGGATAAGATTGACCCTTTATAAACACCACTAAGAGTATTCAGGTTATAGGTAATGATACAAAAGAACTGTAAGAAGTCACAATTAAAAATCTGGTTTATCAGTTTTTTTGTCATTGAACTTTATACAGTAGTGTTTATAATGTTTAATTTTTTTGGTGTTATTCTCTCTCAAGCTGGATGATTATTAGAACAATCCCTAGTCTTTAGAATAAATTCAAACACAACATTTAGAGATATTTAACATATTTCTTACCTCTTTTTGGTGATGAAGACAATGTTTTTTTGTTCTGCTTTTTCTTCCTTAAACAGTGTATTTAAAAAGTTATCCTGGGTTTGTCTATCTTTGGTGATATTCACTCATGCCTTAAAAACACTCCACAGGAATTGGGATTGGGAGTCTGAATATACGCTGTTTATGTCAGCCTTGAAGGTAAAATGTTATTCAAAATATATCACCAATTATTTCCTATTGCCATTTCTGCTACGGTGTTCTAACTTTATTTTTAACTAGACAATTAATTCTCAATGTCAAATACTTCACCAAAAAATTTATAAATATAATTTGTTCTTTGTATAATCTATACCATAACCAGTGCTCTGAATAGTAATTAGTTGTATGTCTGGAGCATATATGAATAATTCACCAAATGCTATACAGTTTTTAGATGCTGAAATGATAAAATGTTTAAATGTGAATACTTTGTTTCATTTGTTCTTAAGGTGTACTTTTTTTCTTAACCTTTTAACATGTCTGAAATCAGAATAAATCTTACAGTGAAAGGCATCTTACAATTAATGACCTTTTTTGTTTCTTAATGATATATAAGATAAGGATGAACCTTACAATGGATGGCATCTTAGATTCAATAAAATAAAATACATGGCAGAAAATGGCACCCTATCATACTGAGAATAACTAATGGTTATAAAACTATAGGAAAGATAGGAACTGGCAGAAAGGAGGGATGTTGCATCTCTATGGAATGGACAATATAAATGAAAAAAGTTCTTTTTAAAAATCATATGATTTGTTTTCTGTAAAAGTTATAAGCAAAGATTTTTTTTCAGTTGCTTCTTTTCTTCAGATCTTTAAACTCTTAACTTCCTTTTTGGCTGTTTCTGTACTCTGCACAGTTCCCATTACTCTAATAGACTACATAAATAGCTTTATGTCAAGCCTCAAAATAAGTCATCAGTGCAGTGTTTAAACATATTCTCTCGTGCAAATTCCTTCTTTCCCAAAAGACTATAAATAATAGAGCAGGAATTTTCAAACAACTCTATGCTTTGATGAAGTAAAATTTTAATATATAAAATAGATGAACTGAAGTTTTAGCATGTTGATGTTGAAAGGGAGGAGAGGTTAAATTTCATGAAGCAGTTTTCTTTTTGACCCCTTCTTCATCTCCATGGAACACTCTATTCCTAATAATATATCAGACAGTTATCTGTGTTAATTGGAGTTATATATATGGAGTTATATATATACATATACACACACACATGTGCATACACTTTTTTTTTTTCTGAAAGAAATCTGAATGACTTCCAGTTTTTTGGGATATAATTGACACATAACTTCATCTTAACTTTAAAGTGTATAATATAATTATTTATATATATATATAAACAATTACCAGAATAAATTAACATCCGTCACTTCATTTAGTTTTTTCTCTTGTGATGAGAACTTCTAAAATCTACTTTCTTATCAACTTTCAAACATGCAATATAGTACTGTTAACTGTATTCCCTGTTCTATATATTTGCATCCTTAGACCTTACTTATAACTCAGAAGTTTGTACTTTTGACTGCCTTCATCCATTCATAGACATTTCTATGGAGTACTCCTTTCCTAATAGTATACCAAACTAAATCTGTGTTAATTAGACTCATTTTTTAAAATTTAACTAATTTCTATCTGTACTTCTGTATTTAAGGTAAATAAAAATAATGCCAAATTATGGAATAATGTGGGTCATGCTCTGGAAAATGAAAAAAACTTTGAGAGAGCTTTGAAGTACTTCCTACAGGCTACGCATGTTCAGCCAGGTAAGCATTATTGATTAATAAAGCTATTGTTAATAGTTTTTTCTTTTTGAAAATTTGATTACATTTGTAGAAAGTAGGTGGAGTTTATTTTCAAGCTTTATTCCAACTGACTTGAATACTATAATGTTTGGTGCTGGCTTATTTTTTGAATTGGGTTATATGTTAGAGCTATTTATATCAGACATTTAGGGATGTTTTTAAATACAGATTGTTGGATGGCACTGATGAGCAGTTTTGGTGGAGTGATAGATACAAAGGCCTGTTAGGGTAGAGGAAGAACTGGAGGCAGTTGATATTAAAAACTCGTAAGATGTGTTGGTGTTGAGTGTGGGGTCAAGAGAGGGCAGTAGGAAGCTGGGGTTTTTTGGTTTTGTTTTTTTGTTTGTTTTGGTTTTAAAGATGAAAGAAACAAGGCATGTATGTGACTATGCATTGGAGCTGGGCAAAGTAGTAATTCAAGGTTGGGGAACGGAGTAAAGGATTGATGTTCTTGAATAGATGAGAATAGATAATTAGGATCTGGTTCTCAGGATGAGGATTTTAGTCAGCTGAATCAGTAGTTACCATACGGTAACAGGGAAAGCAGAGTGTAGAGACATGAATATAGATAGGCAGGTGAATAATAGACAGATGACCTCTGGAAGTTATTCTTTGCTGCTTGTTTTCTCAGTGACATAGGAAGCAGGTTCAACAGTAGAGTGTGGGGAAGGGAGAGGACGTTCTGGAGGTCTGAGACCAGGAGAGAGTCTGAAGAAGTCATCTAGGACATGGCTTCAGAAACTTTAATGTGTGTGTGAATCACCTGGAGATCTAATGGTGCGTGTTCTGGTGTATAGAGATTTAAAGTAGGGCCTGAAGTTCTGCGTTTCTAATAAGTTCCTAGGTGATACTTAGCCCAAGAATCATGTGTTGAGAAACTAAGATCTAGGAAAATGTACAGACTAGGAAAACAAGCAGCTGTAACACCACCCTTCTTGAGGCTGGCAGTACTTAATTAAAATTAAACCGGTTGATGTGTTTGTGTTTTTCTCCCACTACTTTATTTATAGTATAGACAGGCCCAGAGAATTTGGTTAAACAGGATTAGGATTTTGTTAGATGTGTACTACTAAACAAAGGGTTAAGGGAATATTGAGACATAGTCTAAGCTGGTTATGAAGAGATGTGAGAGAGGGTGAAACATGAGGAAAAGATGGTCAGATCAGTGGTTTATAGATCTGAAATTGTTGGTTTCTGAGGAGGGTCTAGCTGAAGCATTGCTTGTTTTCAGTAGAAATGCTGTTGGCATTTCAAGTATGCAGAACTGTCTGTATTCCAGGGTATGTACCAGATATGGCCCCCACCTACCAAATATACTCATTACTCTCCATTCAGCATGGTAACCAAAAAGTACTTCCACACACACACATTTCTCAGTATGCTTGGCGGGGTGGGGAGTGCTGTGCATGGCCCCCTATGTTTGTGCTGGACAAGGCTGTGACCGTTGAACTGACTAATTAAAGGAGAGTGGGGGTGAAAATCATTGGAAGAAAGGATATCAAAGCTAGTATTAGAAGATACACCTTACATAGATTTGAAACCACTAAAGAATTTTGACAACTGTGTGATGTTGGAGAGAAGGTGAGAACAACAAGGAACCAGGAGCTTGCAGTTGGTCACTACAATAAGGAGGGATAGTGGATAACAGAGTTTAATGACCTGAAATTCAGAAAAGAGTGGTTTTAAGCAGTGGCAGTGGTCTGCAAGTGGTATGGATCTAGGAGGACACTTAACTCCAGGCCAAGTGTTGCAAAAGATAAAAAGATCACAGTCATCACTTGGAAAAACTACTAGTTTCCCCAAGGCAAAGCTGAATTCTAGTTGGAGAATGTTGTAGAAATGTATAACTGATGGTCTGGCTGTCTTTCCAATTTTATCTTCCCTGGCTCTTCATGCAGTTTAGTTTTTTCTTGAAATATAGGGCATATGTGGTGGGCTTCCTCACCTCTTTGCATTTGTTCATGTTGTTTGAACCTAGAATTCCTCCCTTCTCCTTTCCTTCCAATCCACCTTCCACCATACCCTACCCATCTCTTACAACCCATCTCACTTGGCTTCTCTTCTTATTAGAGGGGGAAAAAACCCTTCTGTCTTTCCAATTAGAAGCAAATGTTTCTCATCTTCAAGACTCCTTACAACTTTGATATCTTTCCTGTCATATCTGTTATTTAAATGTTTATTTAAAATATTTATTTATTTAAAGTATGTATGTTATATTTAAACTGTGGGGCTCCCTAGGGATAGCATGAACATTTGGCTCATCTTCACACCTACTACATCATCTAGCACAGTTTTATACACAGTCAGTGGTCACTAACTCTGGCAGTTTTAATTCATTGCTTTCTAAAGCCTTTTAGGTTCATTCTGGGAGTTTTTAGAGAAGCAAAGTCATCTTTATGTCAGGCATGCAGGGACTTTGAGACTTAGGAGATGGGATTTAGCCTCCTTCAGACTTATCCTAAATTGCATAGTAATTTCTATCTCATTGTATTGTTGAAACTGAATGAAATTGTGTTTGGTGCTGCATGCTACTGCTAAGTTGGAGAAGGCAATGGCAACCCACTCCAGTATTCTTGCTTGGAAAATCCCATGGACAGAGGGGCCTGGTGGGCTGCAGTTCATGCAGTCGCTAAGATCGGACACGACTGAGTGGCTTCACTTTCACTTTTCACTTTCCACTTTCATGCATTGGAGAAGGAAATGGCAATCCACTCCAGTATTCTTGCCTGAAGAATCCCAGGGACACGGGAGCCTGGTGGGCTGCCGTCCATGGGGTTGCACAGAGTCGGACACGACTGAAGCGACTTAGCAGCAGCTATCAGCCAGTGCTGAGTAGCTTCATTCGTATCCAGCTCTGTGCGACCCCATAGACTATAGCCCGCCAGGCTCCTCTGTCCATGGAATTCTCCGGGCAAGAATACTGGAGTTGGTTGCCGTGCCCTCCTCCAGGTAATCTTCCCAACCCAGGGATCGAACCCACGTCTTTGGTGTCTCCTGCACTGACAGGCGGGTTCTTTACCAGTGGATGTAAATTATGGATGTTAAGCTTAAAATCATTTTTCCTCTCATTGTCAGTTGTCACTTTTGGCTGTTTTTTAGATACTTACTAAACCTATCTCCTTTAGTATGACTTACCTACTATCCTCTCAAAGTTGCTGTTTCTATTAATAATAAGCAATGAGCTAGAAAAATAGGCAAATCATTTATTACAATTTATTATGAAAAAGTGCATAATCTTAGAAACATTGAATTTGGCATTCAGAGACTTCTGGCTTATTCTGTGTTTTTCAGCTATGTTCTTCATAGATAGGTTTGACAGGTGAAACAACATGGAGAGGAGGAAATCAAGTCTTTTTGTCCCTATTAGATGTACAGATGGAGACAGATCTATAATTTGGAGATAAGGGGAATGAATCGTCAGGACTAAAGATAAAGATTTGAAGTAACAAGCATGTAGGAAGTATTTAAAACCCTAGAGACGTGTGGGATCACAGAGAGTAGAGATTCTTAACATTTAAAGTAGCTTAAAAAAAAACAAGAAGACATTCAATCTGAAGGCTTTTCTTGCTTAGCCAGAAAAAGAATATAAACTACAGAGTGGTCTTTGACCAGGCGACATGCATGTTACACAAACAATTGATTATGGGTTTTTGTTTGTTTTGATGGTTACAAGTATTTTTAAAATATCAATTCACAAGCTAAAATTTTTGCAAATAGAATTAAAGTTTCCATAAACACGTTATAAGGGTAGATTTTTCTCAGGAAACACCAGATTTCCCCTATGGTTTATTTTTGCCTTAAAATCAGTAATTTCATTTTTATCTAACTCCAGCAAAGCTTTGAGACTGTTTATATCAGAAAACAATCATGAGCCTGTAGTTCAGATTTGATGCCATCAAGAAGGGAATGATTTTTGAAGTTTTCAGAAGTTTCCAGATGTTTATAATTTATCTTTTTAAATAAATTGACAGATTTGTGCACAGGAAATAATGGGAAAGCAACACAGATGCCTAGGCTATCAGTGTGAGAATACGTAGCTCTGCTGTTGATGGCTGAAGAATTATTAGGCACAGAGCTGCCTGATATTTGCCAGTCCTCCTTTAAGTTGAATTAAAGACAGACTGCTAGATTCATGCTGCTGTTGGTTTGGCTAGTGCACTCAATAGCAAGATTGTTTTTGAAACTCTGTAGCTTCTTGGTCATTCAAATGTAACTGATTTTTATATTTTGCCTGCTTGCTTACTTTTTTTTTTTCCAAATTTAAATTTACTTTAACAGTAATGCTGTTTCCTCCTGGAATTTTAAAAACTTTGTAACTTATATAGAATATTGCCTTAAAAATTGTGTTTTTTTCATTTTTTTTCCTTTTAGATGTGTCATGTAGTTCTTTTGATGCTAAAAGCTATTTAATTTCTATCTTTGTTCTTTGAGAAAGTAAGGATGCCTTACTGAATGTCTGTAGTCTTCATCGATACCTCCTTGCCATAATTCTGAGAACCTGACCAGTGTGTAGTAATTTGCCTTGTCTTTCATCCTAATAGATAACCTCTTTCTTTTCTAAGATTAATTGGGGCTCCTTTCAGTAATATATTAAATATTTAGCTGACCTACTTGCACTTTTATTTACTTAAACTTCCCGTTTATTCTTTTCTTAGATTAAATTATCACCGTATAATTAAGTTTTTCAGGTTTTGTACACTCTTTAGTTTTTTCTGGGTAACTTTCTGATCTCTAGAGTAATTGGTGTAGATTTATCTGATGTTTAAAAAAAATAAAGAACTTGGATAAACAAGATCCTACTGTGTAGCATAGGAAATTATATTCAGTATCCTTTGATAAACCATAATGGAAAAGAACATGAAAAAGAATGGTTACATATGTGTAACTGAGGCACTTTGCTGCACTGCAGTAATTAACACAACATTGTGATTCAACTATACTTCAATCAAAAGTAGATTTTTAAAACAGAGCTTTTTAGGAGCAAAACTCTATATGCTCTTGGTAATGCAGTATATTTCAACCTTCGCTCTACATCAGAATTGCCTCTGAAACTTTTTAAAAAAACAGTTTTGCAGTCCTGTTTGTGAAGATTCTGTTTTGATAGAACTGAGTGGGATAAGATGTCTGAATTTTTCAGAGCTGCACAAGTATTCTGAATGCAACCAGTACTGGGAAGCATTTTTTTTCTTTTTGACTTGACCCCCTCCTGAAACACTATGAGATTCAGTAATGTATGTAAAAACAAAAAAATCAACCTTTTTCCCCCTAATCTTGTCCCTTAGCTCTCTAACTGAAGCTGTATTGCATCTAACAGCTTTTGTGCAGTACACACAATTGCCAACCTGAAACATAATCTAGCAAGATCTTAGGACTGTTACTCTCCTCCTAGGGGAATGCCTAAGATATAAATGCTTGGCCCCTATGTGTCCTGGGAGTTGCAGGCAGAGAACTATTCCACAATTGCAAAATCATCATCGGTGTCACAGGCAAGTAGTAATCATAATTTGAAACCTTGTCATGTCTGTTAGAGATTCATGTTGAGTAAAATTTGTCTAAATTAAGATGTCCCTTCTTTCTATCTTTATTCCAAACCTTTGAAATATTTACTGGAAAGTGTATCTTAAAACTAGTGCACAGTGAACCCTCATATCTTTGTAATTTGAATTGCATATTTTTCTGTCTCTGAACAAATTTGCTGAGGGCTCAATTTTCTATATCACAAAATGAGACAGAACTTCCTGACATTCTGATATTAATACAACCTTTTAAAAAGTTTCAATTAAATTATATGGTTATATATCATCATTTAAGGGAGCTGGGCTGCTGCATCTTAAATAATACTATAGAATCCTGATAACTTACACTCTAGCCATATTCACAAAAATTTTTTTAAAGTTGCAAAGTTTTTCACAGTCTCTTTGCCCCTTTCCCACCATGGATACATATTTGCAATTTGTAATACTTGAGATTATTCTGGGAATCACGGTGATCCTTTTCACTTTTAGAGTTGAGCCATACTTTCTGAGTGAATTCCAAAGCCATGTGATTAAGGAAATAGAAGTAAGCCTTAGTATAGGACAGTAAAATATAGTGAAGAAAAAAAACAAAAACAAACGTAAATTCCTTCATTACTTTTATTTCTCCTGTCTTGTCTCTTAACCCTTCCAGGAACCATTCAGATAGTTTTTTTTTTTCTTCATGTCATATGTGTATCTCCTGTTCTTCCAGTACTTTATTTAATAGTCTTCTAGTGTAGCCTTGCTCATAAGTTATAGTAAGTTGTAAAGAGCTTTAAGGAGAAAGCAGGACCTATTGCCTGATTTTACATTTTTTGCCTAGTTTGTTGCTCAAAACATGTCTTCTTAGTAGTAGTAGTAGTTTACACTGGACACTAGTTAGTGTATCTGCCAACAAATGATTTTTTTATTTTAGATGATATTGGCGCCCACATGAATGTAGGAAGAACTTACAAAAATTTAAATAGAACCAAAGAAGCTGAAGAATCTTACATGACAGCTAAGTCACTGATGCCTCAAGTAAGTTGTCAAAAATTATTCCTATTGTGTCATGTCTGCTGGATGTTTGTATTGAATAGAGTTATCCAGATGGAAAATCTTTATCTTTTCTTTAATTTGGATTAAAATTAAGGTGTCCAGTGAACCATCTATTACTTTGTTATAAAAGATTGCATTTACCTATCTAGCTCACTTAATTTAAAAAGTACATAGTCTATGAAAACTAAATCTATGAAATTATGAGTTTTAGATACTTTTTATTGTAAGTTATCTATGACTTTAAGTGACTTTAAATGAAAATAATTTTATTTATGTACATTAAGCAGTAAACATTAACTCCTATCAAAAAATAAATGAACAAAGCAAAGTGATAAAATGAGTAGATATGTATCTGTGCCTGTCAGTTGCTATAATGTCACAAGTACAAGATTTCTTGGATATCACAAGACAAAGTTAGAAAATCTGACACTGCTTTTTATCAGCTGTGTGTAATCAGAAAAGATAGTTTACGTTGGGCTGTAATTGTCTCAATAGTAGTTTATATTAATACTGTAGCAATATTGAAATGAGTTGATAGTTTGATTTTGATAGTTTGATAAATGTTTTAAAAACAATTAGACCACATGATACATTAAGAATTCTTTCAGCTCTTAAGATTCTGAAGTTAAATTGTGTTCAGTGGATTTTTATCAGATATAATTTATTATATTCATTGAGAATTGGGGTTCACATATACATAATAACTTTTAGAGTTAATTAGATAATTTTATGTCTTAACTCCAGCAAACAAGTGAGGAATTAGTAAAGCTCTGAAGTAAAGTTAACTACCCCACTGTCACAACCAGGAAACATCTTGCTGACAATTTGAAAGTTGACATGGTGTAACAAATATACTAGACTGAGGAAAAAAGAGCTGAGTTCTGTTCCTGGTCTGACTCAAGCATACTAAGGGACTTTAGCTTGTGGAAGTTCTGATTTATATGACTTCATAAAATAACACATATATGAAAATCTAATGATAATTACTGAGATAGCATGAATGAAAAAATACATCCTTCATTGCTTCAAAGCATTATTTTATATTTTGTGAATACTGCAGATTATTTCATATTTTTATGGTCTATTTTAATATAACAGTTTAGCTTTTTATGCTCTGTGTAAATTTTAAATAAGACACTAGGACTTCTTCAGATTTTATTTGGTACTGAAATATCAACTTATAAAAATGTTTGTTTTTTTATTAACAGATTATTCCTGGTAAAAAATATGCAGCCAGAATTGCACCTAACCATTTAAATGTTTATATTAATCTGGCCAACCTGATCCGAGCAAATGAGTCCCGACTGGAAGAAGCAGATCAGCTGTACCGACAAGCAATAAGCATGAGGCCAGACTTCAAGCAGGCTTACATTAGCAGGTATTGTAGTTCACTTTAGGCTTTCACTATAAAAGATGGAAGCTCTATACATCTGTATCTGTTTTTCTGTCTTGCATATAGGGTTATCATTACCATCTTTCTAAATTCCATATATATGTGTTAGTATACTGTGTAGAACAGACTTTCGGACTCTATGGGAGAAGGCGAGGGTGGGATGATCTGAGAGAATAGCATTGAAACATGTATATTATCAAGGGTGAAACAGATCACCAGTCCAGGTTGGAAGCATGAGACGAGTGCTCAGGGCTGGTGCGTACACTGGGATGACCCAGAGGGATGGGATGGGGAGGGAGGTGGGAGGGGGGATCGGGATGGGGAACACATGTAAATCCATGACTGATTCATGTCAATGTATGGCAACAACCACTACAATATTGTAAAGTAATTAGCCTCCAACTAATGAAAATAAAAAAAAAAAAAAAAAGATGGAAGCTTCATCTGCATATACATTTAGGCTGTCTTCACTAATTTGGCTTTTTTTTCTTCTAGTAAATCTTAGTTGACAACCAAGAGCATAGAAACATAGCTTATTTTAGACTAACAAATTTAATTTATTTTAAACTGACAAGAGAATCCATAATGTAAAACAGCAAACTTAGGTTTACTTATACAAAAGAAAGGATAGGAAAGGATAGGAAAAGCTCTTCGGTTTCTTCTGCTTCTCAACACCAAATTCATTTTTACCTAAAACAGCCAAAATTTACCATTTATAATTGCTTCTCTAATTGTAACAAAGTAATTGTTATTTTTGCAAGGAGTTATTACTTCTTAATTATTATAGGTTAAGAAATCATTGTATAATTATGGAATCATTATATATAAAATAATTAACTAATTGTATAATATCCAACTATCAAGGGAATTGACTGGTTATTTATGTTTTTATTACAAAGAAACTTCAGTTGCCAGTAAAAAACAAAAAATTTGACAATAAGTGTCAGAATCTTAGATATTTTCTCATGTAAATGTTATCATTTGTGTTATACTTGAGAAAAAATTGTTTTAAACTTTGTTTTGAAGCCTACTCCAGTCCTAATTATAATTTGTCACATTGTTTATATGGAAAATGCATTCAGAATTTAAGTTTTTGAAATAAAATCTGTTCATAAGCTGAAAGCTGTCTCTCTTCAACATTATCTAGTACTTGCTGAAATTCACTAAGTTTACTGGGGTTGTATCAATAAATAAAACCTGTATTAAGTTAACTTATAAAGAATTGCTTAATAATCTCTGCATTTATTTTAAAAATCACATTTTGGACACTTATTCTAGGAAGTGTGAATATTAATAGTTTGTTTGACTTCATGCCTATGCTAGTATTTTAGGAAAGAGTAGTATTTTAAAATTGACTCATATCAGTACTTAAATTGATTTGCACATATGTAAAAGTGACCTTTTAAGTTCTGTAACAGAAAATATAACCTTACTAGAATCATTTTCAGATTGATCATCAGTTCCAGATATGTTCCTCAGAAGTATCTACAGGTGGCAGTATTGCCCTTCCATCCTACCAGATTGGCTTTTTAATTCTTTTGTAAGAATTCATTGAAGAAAACGAAGTAATTGTAAGGGGTAAACAATTCCAAATGTCCTGCTTTTCGTATAGTTAGACATTGCTAACGAAGATTTGAACACTGGAATTCCCCATCACTGCTGTGTTTACTTGCCTTCTCCAGATGCTGCTCATCTTCGGACAAATTGCTCTCCCACTCTATTTATTATCCTTTTTCTGATGCAGGCTAGTCTGCTGTTTTTCAAGATATATTCAAAGGATATATTTTCTGTTCCCCTTTCTTGGATACCTCCCGACATCTTACCCTCTAGAGTCAAGCGTGTTTTTTCCTTCTTTAATAATATTTGAAAACATATCAAACCAAATGTGCAAAATTAATGTGTTTAGGTTTAAGGACAGTTTCAGATAGTTATTTTTGAAGAAAAATTTAAGAACCTAAGTTAAAAGGGAAGATATGACTATGTGGAAAAGCTTAAAACTTGTGAAAATAGTGTCTACATGTAGACTGACATGATACTGTAAGTAAAATTTGTGTTTTTCCACAGAGGAGAATTGCTTCTAAAAATGAATAAACCTGTCAAAGCAAAAGAAGCATATCTTAAAGCCCTAGAGCTGGACAGAAATAATGCAGATCTTTGGTACAACTTGGCAATTGTTCATATTGAACTTAAGGAACCAAATGATGCGCTGAAAAACTTTAATCATGCTTTAGAACTAAATCCAAAGCATAAACTAGCATTATTCAATTCTGCTATATTAATGCAAGAATCAGGTATGTTTTCTCAAAATTTCTCTATATTTAAACATACTCTAGTTTGAAATATAATAAAGTCATATATTATGTTACCCCAGCAAACATTTTATGAATGGATGGTTTTTATCAAAACTGTATAAACTGTTATAAGAAGAATATTTTAAATACTTGACATAAACCTTTCAGGTAATACACCCTAGCATATGTGTCATTCTAAATGTTAATTTCTCTGGTATATGCTAAAAATGACTTCTCAGACAGTCTATTAAGCAATACTTTAATCTATTTTGTCATTTCATACCTGGAAGTATATTTCTTATGCATAAATATCATGCTATTCAAATAATCTGAATTTGTTAAAAAAAAAAAGCAGTTTTAAGTAATTATTTCTAGGGTGTCAAGAGCATTATATGTTTTAAACAACGTAGTATTCTATTGTCCCTTGATCAATAAGTCCAAATATTTTCAATATCATGTTATATCCAGTGTTACTGTTTTCTGAGATATTATTATAATTTCCTGTATTTTCTATAAATTAGCAGAACCAAATTATCCATCACAATAAACTAGGATCTTTGATATATCAGAATTTTAGTTCTGTTCCAGAAGACAGTATATACAGTTTATGGTTTTCTTAATTTTTATGTTTGGAAATATCTTTATATTAATTATTAAATGCTTTCATACAACTTCTGCAAAAAATATAAGAATAATATTTTATAATTAAAGAGAGTCTTTGAGTTTATTTCTACCAGTCATCTATTTTATAGGTTAAAGAGTGAGGACCAAATAGATGTAATAACTACCCTAACTTTATATGGCTAGGTTAGGAATTAGTCCAAGACAAGAACTTAAGCCTGCTGATTTATTTCAGATTTCTTTAATCATCATGTTATCAAATAAAAGGATAAAGATCTTTATACTTGGCATTCAAAAAAGCTTAATTTAGAAAACTAATGTTTTTGTAAAGTTAGCTAACCTTAGTAATCATGAAAAGTGCCTATAATTTAACACAAGATTATATCCTGGGGTTGAAATTTTTTTGGTACTTATTTGCAGTAGAAATCATCTCAATAAATATTTGCTTCCTGAATCTTAATTTATATTTATAGACTTTAGATATAATGGTATTCTTTTTATATTTGAAATTTCCTAAAAAATTTTAAGTAATGTACAAAATATATCTAATTTAGTAAGACTGAAACATTTTGTTTATCCAATATAGTTAGTTTGCTGAGCATTTTTTACATATCTCATGTAATTCTTAGAAGATTCAATAGGTTAACCCAAGCAAGTAATTATTTTAGTGAGTAAAGTCATACTGTTAACAGAATCATGACTGAATATATGTCTCTATTTTCAAATTCCCTACATCTTCCTCTTAATTCTCCATTCTTCCTCAACTCCCAATTAGAATCTAAACTTATCAGGAAATATTTCACCCTTTTTTAGTTTTTGAGGAACTCTTACTACTTTAAAGGAAAGGAAATGAGCTATCAATCCAGTGCATCAAACACACTGTCTGTCTTATGAAAACTTTGAGGGTTTTGCTTTCTGCATTTTAATTTAGGTACATCAATTAGTTGTTTTGATGCTCAGTTCAGTCACTCAGTTGTGTCTGAACCTTTGCGACCCAGTGGACTGCAGCACGCCCCCGGTCCATCACCTGTTTTGATCCTATGTTTTTATAATCTAGATAAATTCACCTCCATTTTTTACCTTAGACTTACTCATTTGCTAATGATATAATTTTTTTCTCTTTTTAAAAAATTCTTAGGAGAAGTTAGACTCAGACCTGAAGCTAGAAAACGACTTTTAAGCTATATAAATGAAGAGCCACAAGATGCTAATGGTTATTTCAATTTGGGAATGCTTGCCATGGATGACAAAAAGGACTCTGAAGCAGAGATGTGGATGAAGAAAGCCATAAAATTACAAGCCGACTTCAGAAGTGCTTTGTTTAATCTGGCTCTCCTGTATTCTCAGACTGCAAAGGAATTAATGGCTTTGCCAGTCTTGGAGGAATTACTCAAATACTATCCTGATCATATCAAAGGTCTCATTTTAAAGGGAGACATCCTGATGAATCAAAAGAAAGATATATATGGAGCAAAAAAATGTTTTGAAAAGATTTTGGAGATGGATCCAAGCAACGTGCAAGGAAAACACAATCTCTGTGTTGTTTATTTTGAAGAGAAGGACTTATTAAAAGCTGAAAGATGCCTGGTTGAAACATTGGCATTGGCACCACATGAAGAATACATTCAACGCCACTTGAGTATAGTCAGGGATAAAATTTCTTCATCTAGTTTTGTAGAACAACCTATATTCCCAGCTGGTAAGACTTCAGGTGTAGAAGGAGATAAAATTCCAACTGAAAATGTAAAAGAAATAAAAAGCGAGCCCAGACCTACACAGATAATAAAAACAAATGATAATAAGAGTCAATCTAAAGCCAGCAAACAATTAGGAAAAAATATAGACAAAGAAATTCCCCACAAAACAACAAAAGAAATCAAAGAAATTGAGAAGAAAAGAGTTGCTGCTTTAAAAAGACTAGAAGAGATTGAACGTATTTTAAATGGTGAATAGCATTACTTTTTATCATGTGACAGGGTTTCAGAGAACTTCAGTGTATATCATGTGATTACTTATACTGGGAGCTTTGAAAAATAGCAAGCATACTAAGAGTCTCTCATGAGCTGCCTCTACATAGTATCAAAATAAGATTTTCATTAAAGACCCTTTCATTACCCCAGGATATGTTTTATATTTGACAGTAGTTCTTTGAGTTTTGGGGACTGTAGCAGAAATTTCAGTAATCACAGGTGGCAAATCTGTATCTTTTCTTATAGAAGGTAGATTCTTTCAGCAGAATAATATTGACTACTCTCAATTAAAAATAATCTGAGGTCTGAATGATAATCCCATGGTGGCAAATCCAACATGTGCTGGTTTATTCTGTGAATTCACATTGATTAGCTAACCACGTTTTCCTTTAACTATTGGAGTCTGACTATGAGTTGAAAACACTATTGAACATATACTTTTTTCCTTTGTGACCTTCTATTTAACCAAGGGACTTTGCACTACAAAAGAATACTGGCTGGCTTTCTTTACTTTGTATTCTTTTTTGATTTTTAGAAGGAAAGCCAGATGAAACATTTTAAAATAAGTCACTTGACATGTTAGCTTTAGAATGTATTAATATTTTCATAACTGTGTGCTTGTCCTTAACTTCCCTATCTATATGGCAGTTTTTAATCAGGGAAAGTTTTAAATAAGTATATATACACATATTTCTGATGGTGCTCATTTATACTGGACTTTCATTTCTTTGGTGTACTGAGTTTCACAGCGTGAACAACATAATCACCACATAATCATTGACTCTCACTTTTATTTCCCAAACTATTCCTGTTTCTTAGGGTCATAGTCATACTGAGAAATCCCAGTAAGTATAACTTCACTAAACTTTTGAGTTAAAAATGTAGTAAGATTCTCTTTCATGTTAATGTTCATCTTTCTAGCGTTACTTGAATTTTAATTTTGTTTCCAAAACACACCTTAATTAGATACCTAAATTGAGTTCTGTTTAACTGAAGGCAAAACAATATGACAAAGTTTATTTTTAAACACTAAGTTCTTGATAGCTTGTTACGGTGTATATTTTTATTAAATATTTATTTTGACTACTGAACTTTCATAAAATTTTTAACACTGTTTTAATTCCATCAAGTATGGGAAATGCTATTGCATTTTTTTCTCTGCACACATATATTATTTGTTGTTATTGTTCAGTTGCTCAGTCATATCCAACTCTTTGAGACCCCATGGACTGCAACATGCCAGGCTTCCAGGGCGTATATTATAGTTATATAACCAAAATTTCATCATGTTTGGCCTACTGCCAGCTAAAAGAAAAGGTAATTAGTCTAATATAGGATTAGCAAATTAGTCTGCTGGTTTTAGCACATTTAAAGCTGAAAAGTGTTTGAAGAGTAGATACAAATCCAGTTTATCAATTTAAATCTGATTTTTTTCTTGAGTTAAAATGTGTTTTATAATACTAATATAGTTGGTTTTAGTTTAAAATGTTAAAGCTCAAGCTATCATCCTGGAATAGTAACTAATTTATAATAATGTAGCATTTCAAAAACTATTTCTGTTCCTTTGAGATAATTTCTAATGTTTTAAAAACCATATTCTTGTAACTTTTTTCTTAAATGTTTTATAAATAGATCATAAGAAACATGGTCTGCATTAAAGACCCACTTTTACTAGGTTCTCTGAGGCTCTGTCATAGATTATTTTTTAGGCAATATAAACCAAGCACTGACAACAGTGATAAGTTCATTTTTGATTCATTAAAGCATTAAAGCAATACCTAATTTCAATTTTTAAATTACAGCTTTGTTACTGTAGATATATGATGGAGAATACCTCATATACTATGACTTGAAAAATGAAATTGTTATTACATTTTCTGCACATATCTTGAGAAGTTTGAGTTTAATGTCTTCTTTTACAATATCAAGTGAGGATAGTTGTGAAAAGAAGGCAATCTGTTATGACAGCAGACCATAATAAAAACTTTGAATAATATTTTAATAAAATTATGTAACTATTCAAAAGATATATTAATATTATCTAATGATTTTTACAGAAAAAAATGTTCTCCATATTAGAACTTAAAATAATGCCAGTCATGTTGGAAATGTTCATATTTTGAATAATTTATTTAAATCAAATTCACTGTAATTAATAATTTTTCCAAATCATTGTTTCTAAACCTTCATTTCATATTAGAATCATCTAGACTCCACCCTACAACAGTGAAATCTGAGTTTCTTATTGTCAAGCTGTGCTTCAGTTTTTCCAAAGGCTCTCAGAGTGATTCTAATTCATAGTGAGGGTTAAGGACCACTAGTCTAAATTATAAATTAGTTCAAGAAAATCTTCTTCTCTCTCCCATGTTAACTTTTAAACTAGTGATATAATCCTATTTATTTCCTCTTAAGTTTCATCAGTCTTGCTTATGTATAAGATTATTTCTTCTCTTTAAATTCATAATACAAATTTTATTCAAATCGTTCAGGTGAAAAAGGGAATGAATATTTTTTTCCTATGGAGCTGCCATTTTGGGGAAATGGAGTGTAGGGATATTTTAGCCCAATTCACTAACTTGTTCCAGAGTTGTAAGCATCTGTAAGTTTGTAAAAGAAAGCTTATCATAGGTTTATGTATTAGTAAGGGGATGTAGTTTTAGTTCTTGCTGTTTTACAAAAGAACCTACTCTCTAGGAGTTGTAGGAAAGCTTTGACAATCCCCAAGGGGTAATTGTGCTACACTTTCCTTCACTGCTTCGCAGAAGGAAGAATTAACTCTGTTCCTCTATGTGTTTCCTTACTAACATTTGGGAATTCTGTCTTATAATAATTATTCCAGTAAGTAATTTTTATGAAGTTGATAACTTGGAGGATAAAACAAATATGTTTGCAATTTTGTCTTTACTTTTATGTAGATATCTGGAATGTGAATTACTCAAGTCTATAAAACCTCATGCCTTTCATCTAATTTGAGCTCTCAACTTCATGTTCCAGAATGCTTCTTTAAAGATGCTTTAATGAAAAATACTATGAAAATATATAGATTTGTATGTCAGTTTATACTTCAGAAATCCATATATTTGTCATATTTATTTTTTTAAAAACCTCCTAATTGTCTGCATGACTAAATGGTATTTAAAATGAAACCTCAAATATATCTGGTACCTTTGTCTGTAGAGTTTTATTTGTTGGAAAATGTCACCATCCTTGTTAAAGTTTCATAAAATAGTTGCTAGTTGTATGCATTTTATATTTCTATGGCATCTGTGTGTACCGTATTTCTAAGTATTCAGTATTAAATTGATACTTTTTCAGTGTTAACCTGAATTGCCTTTTAGTGTTTAAATGAAAAAAAATATAATAGCAATTCAAAACATTTCAGCCCCCACAAAGAAAGAAGAGCTGGTGGGTAGTTTTATTAGCAATGATATGAGAAATGAAAGAAAGAAAGTGAAGTCGCTCAGTCATGTCTGACTCTTCACGACCCTATGAACTGTTGCCCACCAGGCTCCTCTGTCCATGGGATTTTCCAGGCAAGAGTACGCAAGTGGGCTGCCATTTCCTTCTCCAGGGGGTCTTCCCGACCCAGGGATCAAACCTGTGTCTTCTGCACTGCAGGGAGCCACCAGGGAAGCCCAGTGTATTAATTTAGTTCTTAAGAGTGATACATTTATAACCCAAAGTGACAGAAGCTCAACTAAGAAAACGAGACAATTAAATTCCAATCTGAAATTTTATATACATGCACAGTTGGAAGTCAGTGTAGTGAAATAATTAGTCTGAATTATTAATCTACCTGGATTCAAATACTGGTACCACCGTGCTAAAAAAGTGCAAGTTAGAAGAAGTTGTTTAACCCGTATGTTGTCAGTTTCCCTATCTGCAGGCTGGAAAATACTTTTCCTCATAAAGTTATTAAAAGAAGGTATATATGTGTAACATGTATGTTGTATATATATTTATGTATGTATTACAAGAGATATATATCTCCTGTTGTAATAAATAGGCAAGTATCTATAAATAGTGCATGGTCAGCCATGCACACTGTAAATAACTTTTACCAAAACTTTTGACCACAACCACAATTAACGTCACTCAGTGAATTTTGTGATTTCCTTTTTCAGTCATGAAAATTATTGGATGTGATTGGCTAAATTGTTTTTATGTGCCTCAAAGAATGAAACAGCTTTAACAGCTGTGTAACCAGTGATACAGATGGATCCATTCACTGTTGTCTTTATTGGATCATATATACTCGTCTTCCCTGATGGCTCAGCAGGTAAAGAATCCTCCTGCCAATGCAGGAGACGTAGGTTTGATCCCTGGATCAGAAAGATCCCCTGGAGAAGGGAAATGCTAACCCACTCCAGTTTTCTTGGCTGGAAGAAATCCGTGGACAGAGGAGGCTACAGTCCATGGGGTCGCAAAGAGTCGGCTATGACTGACTGACTAGCACTTTTTCATAGTTTGATCATGTTGCATTGGCAGACTAGAAAAGCAGAAGAATAAATATATTTTTAGTTTTGATGAAGATGAAACTTATTTACGGACAGCTTTCCAACAAGCAATTTTTAATTTTTATCAGATACCAACATCTGTTTCAGGAACGTGACGCAGTGTTTACATGTCAGAAGTTTTGTTTAATTCTATGACATTTCTAAATTGGTTTGTTTAATAAGTTCAGCAAATGTAAATAGATGATGTATATTTATATTAAACATGTTAACATATTTAAATTACTTGAGACAATAGTAAATGATACATACTAGTTGTTAATGTAATTGCAAGATTCAGACTTGCAATTGTATATGATTTATATATGTATTAGCATATGTAATATCAATGATTGCAAACAAATTACTAGAAATTTAATACTAATTAGATTAGATGTTCCATAGGCATCTAAGCCAGCAGGTATATAAATAATCTAAAATAAAATATATTCATTAAATATGAGGTATATAAATTTATTTAATAAATTAT